TCTAATTAATGATAAATGTAAGCGTTTATCAAAGCTGGTAAAGGTACAGCTAGTTTTGATTACGCTGTATGCTGCTGGGTAGCTTGTGAATTTACTCAAGGTGTAACTAAAATCTTAATTAAGTGTTGATTTATTTATTATTATCCCATATGCGGAGTAACTTAAGATATTAAATAAATGTAGTGGAGTACAAATACACAATTTACCTCTGAATTGTAGCAGAAAAATAAGTACAAAGTAGTAAAACAATTAAATACTCAAGTATTTAAAAATGGTACTTAAGTACACTACTTGAGTATGTACTGTTAATTTACACCACTGATTTAGCTTTGCCCCTTATGACCCTGATAAATGAACTTGGCCTACTCTTACATCACACCTATATTAGTCTGTCATTATGGTTTACTCAATATGGATTGTTTATTGAATTGTAATAATAATAGCCTAGACCAGAAGCTATTCAAGTCAAATATTAATATAATATTTTGAAATGAAACGCATTAGGTTTTGACATCCAAAACTATATTCAGTCTATGGTGTGTATGAATATTGTTGACAAAAGTCAAATTAATGTGTTTTGTAAATATACTCTCAGTAGAAATGTGCCACCTGAATTTACGAAGGGGCATTGAATGCATCATTTTCACACTGCAAGTGCGAAACCGTTATTTTGACGTTTATCTCGGTAATCACCTCAAAATTAACCTGTCTGTGCATACCAGCCATAAAATAGCTATTAGTTAACTATTAATCTGTTAAATGATTATATGAATCATTCAACTATACAACTCAGACATTGTATGCCTGGTAAGTAGAGTTTAGCTATCGTTGCTTTAGTAACGGCTAATTTAACGTTGAAGTTAGCCAAGCTAATATATTAGCACTTAGCTAAGCAGCTGGCTAACCTGCTCACTTGACATTTAATTGTAATTTATGTTAGCAATTTACCCCTATGACAAAACCACAGGATAATCTGTTATAGTTTAGTTGACTATGGGCTGACGTTAAATATGTTTTCAATACATGACATGTAAGCAGATAGCATAGCTAGCTAACGTTAGCTACTGGATATTGTTTATACATAACGTTTATAAATAAAGTGTTCAACAGCACCACAAGAAAAGATAACTAACGATATCTAACTTTAACTATATAAATACTGCATGTTTTAAATGCTATCTTAACTCTTCAGACATTAATGATACAATGGATAATCAGTGGAGGAAGTAAATGTACTCAAGTATTGTAGTTGTACTATTTTGACATGTTTGTACTTTTCTTGAGTATTTCCATGTATTGCTACTTTACACGTCTACCCCACCACATTTTAGAATTGGATATCATACTTTTTACTCCTCTACATTTATTTTAACACTCATAGTTACCAGTGACCTTATATACAAACTCATGATATGCTGTTATGATATAATGCAGTACTGTACTGCTAATCTACACAGTATTTCACGTATCTAGTTGACGTATCTAGTTTTATCTCTCTGACTTTTAGAGTAACATTACGTCCAAATGAAAGAAGCAGTACCAATGGCAGGAAAAGTGATTCCACCGTCATTAAACAAGAGAGCAGTGAACAACACTAAGAGTCCTAAACAGACAACACCTCAAGAGGTAAGGATAGCTTTCTTGAATCAAAGTCTATTCAATTAGCATTTAAAAAAGAATAATGATAAAGTGGCTCGAATTAATAAAAAAACGTTATAATAATTAAGGATTTTGCTATTTGAATTTTTGATATGTTCACTTATTAGATCAACTTTTAAATCCTTGAATAATGTTTTAATGTAACCTGTCTGTTCTCCATTGCAATAGAAGGAACATCCACCTGCAAATCAAGAGAACTCTCCACCCAAAAAGAAAAAACCTCCCTCTAAATCAACCACTGACGAGTCAGCAGATTTATTTGAGGTGAAAACTGCAGGTATGTAATGTCATATTATACTGCCAGTCACACAAAACTGTTGTATTTTATTGAAATTAGACTTCAGCATCACATTAGCTAACATCAATTATCCATGTAAGTAGCTATCTATCACCATATTGGTGGGTTATGATTTGTATTATCATTCCATAATGCATGTCTACCCTGCAGAGCAAAACTGTGTACCCTTCTGGCGGTTTGTACGTTGACAAGCCGCTCTCACAGGAAACAGCGGCTGACAGCTCCAATGATTGGTGTACATTGGGAGAAATGTGTTATATGAATATAGTGATCACATAATGGAATTCTCAATTGTTACTTTCTTCTGAACATTTTTAATTACAGCGTTTTTAAAGCTTAAAAAACATTTATTTGGCAAGTAAATGATGCTAAAGCTTGCACTAAAGGCCTAACATGGAAGTAATAACACAAGTACAGTATACACTGTGGTAGTCCCCATATTCAGGCGTGGAATTAGGTCATTAGGCTTATCTGTCTTTCCTCTATCATTAAGACTGATCAAATCATTAGAGCACAACACCTGCTACAGGAGCTGCATCCACCATTACGTACAATCGTTCAACTTTCGCCAGAAATGAATGTGTTCCATAAACTCTGTCTCATTCTCTTTCTCCCGTGTTCGCTGCAATAGGCAATTACAACTATCCAAACCATCAACAATTATAATTTTTGAATTGCTTTTGGCTGACCCTATGTGTCTATCTTCAGTATTAGTAAACACAGTATAACAAAGTGTAAAGCTTTGCTATCATTGCTTTTCTGTGCTAATCCAAATAGTCAAAATCACATGACTTGATATGGCCTGGTTCCCAAACAGGTAATTCTTCTACATCATATTTTCAGTTACAAATAGAAAACTATATTCTCAGAATTGTTATTTTGTATTGGGGTTAATTGTCTTGATAAGATCCTTTTTTGCCATTGAGTGACATTTCTGCATCCGTTCTGTTGTTGTGCTTTCTTACAGGTGCAGGTAGAGAGGTCAGCATGATGTTTTCAAAATTTGCTCAAGTGTTAAGGTACGTTGTGTTTCAATCAACCAGATTACATTTGATAACGTTTTGAAGTTTCTTGATTATACATAATACTCAAAACTTTGAAAATGCTCAATGCTTAGAACTTTCCATGTCAATAAAACATTAAAGATCTGTGGCTAAAAACAGACCCAATTTCAGTAAGTTGCTGGTTTTCAGGAAGAAATCATAGGTAGAAAGCAAAAGCCAAACACTTTAAATGCAGGCGCTTTTTTAAAGTTCAGTAGATCAGGTTTTCTTCCAAAAATGAGAAGGTGCGGTGACAACATGAAACCATTTTGAGTACAGACATTCACAGATTGGACACTGACATACACTTCCTTCTGTACTATTATTACCACTGTGACACTTCTCTAACGTCAGCACTTGTGGTTTGTTTCAGTGAGAGAGCTGCAGCTGATACCTCCCAGATGAAGGAGCTGGAGGGCATTTTGACAGAAGCTCAAAACCTCGAGTCCCACCTCAAGGAGAAGAAAAAGAACCTGAGGCAAACTCTGGCTCTAATTTCTGATAAACTGCTGGGTTAAGGAACCAACGCCGTGCAGAAGACCTTTTTATTTTACTGACAAATTATTTTTCTCTCATTGAATATCTTTGTTCATGTACTGCATGCCTTCTGCAGTTCATGTGTTAGTCATATTAACTAATACTCTGACATAAAATAAAGTCATATATGTTGACTGTTTTAATTTTAGAGTTATTAAAGTTATTAGCTTTACTAAAAACTCATTCTGAATATTAAAATTAAATTGTAATATAATATTTAAAATTATTTATTTTCACTCAACATGTGAGTTGTCATTCTTTATACTAAACTTTGCGGAAAAGCCTGTATATAAACTGACTCTTGCGACTTTTGAAATGTATCTTGCTGAAATGTATGTATTACTGTTTAGAAATAATTAAAGTGGCAATCAAGTAAGAACAATTGTGTTGTGTTTTCATTTTAGATAGTTAATATGACTGATCTTTTGTGGAATTCAAAAATAAGGACATTATACAAAAAACTAGTTTTGTATGACAATTTTTTTTTCCATCCGCTAAATATTCAGGTGTTTTAAATTGTAATATTAGCAGTATTGTGACAAAATCCAGCCAGCAGAGGGTGCAAGTGTGCCACATGTATACATCAACATTTACTGAAAAATATTCGAAATTCATAATGTTAGAGTAATGTTTAGTTTAGTTATGTTTCAATATATCAGTGACTGAAATGTGCAGTTCCTTTAGAACTAAGTTATAATAAACAGTGGTATAATTGCAGCAATACAATACCTGTTTACACTGGCTGTAAAAAATGTATGTGCAGTTCTGTTACATAATGTCCGCTTGCAGTTAGAAAGCATTTTACAAACAATTGTTACTAAGAGGAGGAAATGAATGAGGATGACCGGATGAGAAGTTCTCTGTACGTATGTACATTTTTATTGAGGCTTACACAAGTAATTTACTTTATCATTCATTGGATTAACATATCATTTTACAACATGTGGGCGCTGTGCCAAAGTGTGCATTTGTTCAGTGTCCTGAACTCTTTTTGCAGACTTGCAATGTTCTTCATTTTGCCCCCCTTTTTTAGCCCTCAACTTAATATACACATGAATAATACAATTTTTAAAACAATGGTTTAAAGAATTGAAAGAACAACTTAAAACAGGAAAACATATTTCTTACCCTGCACATTTTCAACAATACAGCTACAATATGCTATACCTTCATAATTATCAACAGTTTTACCTCATTATATTGCTGGTATGAAAAAATATATATTTACATTTGTGTTCTTATTCCACTTGTGTGAAGTCTTATCTGTCCTATGCTATGTTTCAATCTTATTGCAGTTGGTGCTCCTAGGCAATGAATATAGTTATATCTTATCTTAATATACATGATTAGGACTACATGTGGAAGAAAACTATACATTCATATCTGCTTAGTGACCTCTAGATTCATGAGACGAACAACATTTGAGACAAACAGCACAGATAATATTTACAATGTTCATAATGTCCTCGTCACGCGTCTATTGCGTGGAGTTGAATGTCCCGTGGAATCCGTACGGGATGTTGACAGGCACCTCAGCCCTGCCAAGCTCCTTAAATGTTTTGGCATCTAAAACCAGGAGGAATGTACTCTTGTCCTGTAAACAATGAAGACAAAGGAAGAAAAATAAATGTAAGATTCCAAAACATAAACAGACAATCGTTGAGAATCTGCTTTTTTTCGGTTAAATTCACATAACTTTTGATAACATTAATTACCAAATGTTCTTTCCTATAATTAAAGATACAAAGAGCCTCCAAATCACACAGTTGGGAGGTGTTGAGTTCATTTAAGCTGGTCTCTGTTACTTTATACATAAATGATTATATATAGATTGTCTTTTTTCTTGTTAGGAATCATTTGAGTAGGACTTAAGTCACACCAGACGGATAAGAAAAGCTGTGACGTCCATCTTAACCTTCAGGTGGCAGGTTTGAGTTTTTGCGTCTAGACATGTTTTGACGAGAGGCAAATATGCATGTGGCCAGCCTAAGTATCCTCTTAAAATGCAGACCCGAGGAATGTTCGGTAGAACTGATATTGGCACACAGCGTTAACACTTCTTAGTGTTCAGTTTGTATTGATATTGGCCATGCTTTTTTAGATACACCTTCAATGTTGTAAAACATCACTTCCGCCTTCCAGCGACCAGTACGTTTTTCCAGTATTATTGCTCAAAATAACTTCCATTATAGGATAACATTTCAAGATGATCTGGACAGGTATCTGGACCTTTAAGTGAGTTTAAACGCTAACGTCTAAGAGTGTAATTCATGACTTTGCAAGATGAAAAATGTAGATGCATTCCCTTTTCTAAAATCTGAACGTGACTGACCTTGTTGGGTGTGATGACCACAGACATGATGACACCATCGTCCTCCTCTGTTGCATTAGGGGAAGGTACGAAGACTGGTTCAGAAGGATACAGACCAGGCTGTTCCCACACCTGTGAGTGAATACAGTAGTTACTTATGTGATACTGGTTTTCGTTTGACTTGTAATCTTCATAGATGGATCGATATTTCACAGATTCAGATGGAAACTTGAGAGGGAGAAATGCATCAAACTCAACTCACCTTCATGTGTTTCCCCTGGAGATCCATCTTGATCAGTGTGTCTCCTACAAGATGTCTGAAGCCGCAGCCGTAGAAGTATCGGTAGGAGTGGGTGTTGTACTTGCCATAGTTAATCTGAGGGAACTCAAGACCTCCGTATTGATGAAGATCCTCTCCGTGGAGGTCCTCATGGGTGCAGAAGACCTGTATAAAGAAAACACGCCTGAGTTTATTTGGATACAGTTCGGTGTTCAGTTCCCAAACTAACTTTGGTATATCCGTATTTGGAAAGGTACGATTTTTTCCTTTTTACTATGCATACAAAGACATGTAATTAAAACAATTACTGTTACATTATATGTTGTGTTGAAACATGCCTACCTTGTTCTTATCAGTTCTTATAGCAGTTGCGGTACAGTCTGGCCCGTTCAAGTTCTGGTCGTAGGGCGTATCACGGTCCACATTGAGAGGCAGAACGAAACGTCGTGGGAATACTCTACACATGGTGTTGTACACCTGATGGGAAATTCAGAAACATGTTTTCAGGCTCATCGAACAAACAATTTTTCAGCAAAACCGAAGCAGCCGAAGCACTTCTTTACACCAATGTTCAAAGAATGCTTGAAAGCATGGAAGATACATCTTGGTAAGTATCAATTCTTAGTTATCCTGCTTACCTCATCGAGATCTTCTCCATTCTTGCGCAGGCTTTGTAGGTTGTAATTGTTGATTGCCTGGCCATCATCTCCAGCACACATGTCTATGATCAAGAAACCGTCCTCCTCGTACGCGTTGATCTGGTGGAAAGTTGACAGCGCCGCGGCAAGGTACTTTATGGTGCTGAGCTGAAAAATAAATCACAGAAAGCAGATCATTGTAGTTTATTAGATAGTACAAACTTAGTGAATTGACTGCATTGAGTTTCAGAGTTTAGTGCCTTACCTCTCCTGTCTGCTTGTGAATCAGGTGGAAGATAGTGTTGAGTTTTGGGTCCCAGGAAATGCTCTCACTGATGCTTTTACCTGTCAACTTTCCTGTCACAATCTTCAACAGGTCCATCTTTATGGGCTGCTCAATGAACACCACGTAGTTCTCAGACATTGCTATAATACAATGAGAAGATTACATAAGTTTCGATTCAAGATTCTGAAAGGACAATTCAGTTCAGTCCAATATACAAATTTGCTGTTTCTGTATCTCATATTTCATGGTAAACTTGGGTTTTGACTATAAGTTGGACAAAACAAGACATTTGAAGATATCACCTTGGATTCTGCAGTTTAAGTTTGCTAGGGATTGTGGGGACTGCATGAATATGTCTGATAGCAGTCCTTTAATTACACGATGAAGACACGATATTTAAAGTTGCTGACCAATAGCTAAAGATCAGTAAAGGAGGCGATACCCATGTTCCATATTGGATCAGTGCAATCTACAAGAAATCTTGGCCGAATACACATGAAGATTGAATCTGACTCTTTAAACAGCTCAATTAGCCAATGCTCATGCTTCAAAGCAATGAGTTGTTTGATTTGTGTTGCTCACCAAAACTGTGGTAGTAGGATGGTTTGCTCTTTTCTACGGAGGGAATGGAGCACAACACAGTGGCTCCCTCCAGGGTATCCCCAGCTGTATTCTTGGTCGGTGGCACTTTGATGATGTTGTAGGTCGCTCCTGTCAGCACAGATACATTTAGATTCTTTCTTCTGGTCCCCAGACATGTGGGGAGCATTGTTCATAATTCCTCAGAATCAGAATTGCTTTATTTGTCCCGCAAGGGGGAAATGCTGTTCTGTACACCTTAAGTATACACATTCAAATGGTGCTGTTCAAACAACCTGATGTAGTTTTTCTAAATTACCTTTGATTCCGTATGAATTTCCCATGTTGTAAGTTGTTCCATCAGGATCAGTGTGAGGGTGCGCGGTCGCTCCGTTCACAGCAACGAATTTGCTCCAGTCCACCTAATAGGTACATTAACATGATTGAGTATTGTTAACTCTTGATTTCATCTACCTACAAGCCTGCTGTAAATTCACAATGGTTTATGGCTAATCTTAGTTTTGATGTATTAAGCCGTTGGAAATAAGATAGATAGGTCAAAGTTATCAGTTACAACTGCATGTTTTCCAACTACATTCAACTTCTTTTTACCTTTTGAGTGGTCTTCAGTGTCTCAGGGTCCACCTTGTGCATCACATTGGTCTCCGTGCTGACATAATAATCCCCTTTGTAGGTCACAAAACTCACATTGGCATTATCTGTGGACTCTAGATGGAAACAAATATGCTAAAGTTAACAACGCGACACAGGAGAACCACAACAGGTCACATATTGTATTACAAACTACATCTTATTCTCAGGATTAAATATGATGGGATAAAATATTTACTTGGTAATTCAAATCTTGACAGGAAGCGCTGGAAGAAGTTCTTGCAGGGGTCTGGCATGGTGAGCGTGCCAAACTCTGACACTACGATGCGGTTTTCCTCATTGTTGGCTTTGTAACTGTCACTGGACAGGAAGCGGCTTTTGTAGGTCACGCTTCCATTGGTTATTTTGAACTGGTGCAGGAGAGCCATACCATCAAACCAGTGGTTGAACCTGATGTTGGAGGGAGCAGGAGAAAGGAGTGAGCTTTGGGATGAAGTGGCTAAACTATACGTGTCAATACTTTTAGATCTTTTACTCACTTATGGTTTCCAATCTCAAACTTCCCAGGTCCGTTCCTCAAGAAGCTTCCGTTGATCCATTCTGGGATTTCGCCGATGATGTTGGTGCTGATGGGCTCGGGGTTTTCCTCCACTGATCTCACGATGTTCTCAATGCAAGGCAGACCGTGAACATCTGTGAAGTGGTTGATGTTCTTCCTAGACTTTGATTTTTTAAGTGCTATGGAAAAAGAGTTAGAAAAAAAAGTGTAAACAAAAAAACAAAGAAGAAATAAAGAATTAAGACATTAAGTAATTGATTTACCTGGGCTCTTGTTCTGTTGTTGTGTGATGGGTTCCATGGCTGTAGCTTTTTTTTCTTCTCCTGAGTATAAAGCAGTGTCAAAGCCCGAACTCTGCCGTTTCTCCAGGACTGGCAACGTTTTATACTATCCTCCTGTCTGGGAGAAACAGTCAGATAAGTTAACAAGCAGACAAAGATTTCACAATTATATAAGCCTCTGAATGACAGAAGCACTTTGTGATCACAAGATGGTACACGTGGTAACTTATTCACAGCTTTATCTCACTGACAAGTGGCAAAGAAATGGCTGGATCATTCCTTGCAAGTAGTTGTTTTTGTCATGTAATAATGATATACTTTGTTATATTCAGTGATAAATATACACCAAAGCAGATGCATTGATGATCCATTTGGGGACATTTTGTCAACACTGAAAAGGGTACAAATCCTCCATCAATGCTTGACTAATGAATGACTCGAGATGATACAGTTTATTTTTGTCATTGCAAACTTCTATTTCTGGCATTATGAATGCTTTTGCGATTTGTTTTCTTGCTAACTGGGATTTTCCTTTTGAGTTTATGCACAGCAAAATGAGTGTCTGGTATCTGCTTGTAGCACTGTACGTTTCACCTATGTTTATCAGCCATAAAGAGGCGTGATCATTTGTTTATGGTTGCATGGGGGCAGTTAACTGATCTACTGAAAGGTAGATCAGTTAACTGCCAGCACGGGACATACAGGGTTGACTCGTTGTTCTTTATCTTGCCTGACAAAGATTGCAGATGTGCAGGTTAGGTTGATAACACAATCTAAATTGCCTATATAGATTATGTAGTGAATTGTATTTTTATAATATTTGATATGGATCTTTTCACAGCTCTATTAGCGTTGGAGACTTGAAGGGTTTGGCACCCGCAGAAAGTTTTTACCGGCAACTTAAGGAGAATACTAGTCCTCTTTTAAACTTATATAGGGTTTACATTTTTATATATGTACTTAATCAGCTCCCACTTTGTCTTATCTATATCCACAACAAAGAATACTGTTATGTGAGGGTGACACAGAGGCAGTAGAGGGCAGAAGTTGAATCAAATGTTCTTCCAGTATCCTACGTTTACCTTACGCAACCATGCTTAAAGGGGAAGTAAGGGAGGCTGTGGCTCAGTGGATAGTGCGCTGGACTTCAAATAAGAGGGTAGCAAGTTTGAGTCCCACTGCAGTCAGCATGTCGTTGTGTCCCTGGGCAAGACACTTCACCCCAAATTGCTCCTGTGGGGATTGTCCACAGTACTAAATGTATGTAAGTCGCTTTGGATAAAAGCGTCTAACAAATAACATGTAATGTAATGTGAAAAGGGTCACCCCACTAAGAAGTAACCAATATTTATATTCTTTAAGCAAATATTCATAAAGAATATCATGAATTTCACATTTTGTCTGGTTATTATCGACTACCCTTTTTTTTCTATTGATGTTATAACTTCCCAATGTCATTCCTCTAAAAACCTGTGTTTTCTTCTGTTTTGTTGGGCCACCTTGCATCAAACACTGACCTCTATCACTAACAGCACAACAAAATGAATACACCAGATTGAAATACATTAATAACAACAAGGAAAGAGGAGCAGAAAAACTGTTTCACACCACAAAGTCGACAAACTAACAATCTATTAATTTAGCTAATAACTGGTTTACCACCTCGGCTTAACATCTCCGGACGAACACCCAGAAAATATAAACTTTTCCCAGCACTTGAGTCAATAGTGAACATGCAACAAGAATGGCATTCATTTTCAATGCAAAACTGATTCATGAAACTAATTTAGTGAAGTAACAAGTACAATATGGACCGCTAGAATACAGTGTAGAGTGTAAGCACAAAGTTGTTAAAAATGTATCGTCCTTAAGAGCATGCATTTAAGGGGCCCTGAACATGTTCTGCTCATTGGGTTTTCCCCTTTCCTGTATTATATATACAGTACCAGTCAAAAGTTTGGACACACCTTCTCATGCAATGGTTTTTGTTTATTTAATGTTGTTCTACTTTGTAGATTAATACTGAAGACATCAAAACTATGAAAGAACACATATGGAATTCTAGTAAATAAGTAAAAGTGTTAAACAATCAAGAATATGATTTTTATTTTATATTCTTCAAAGTAGCCCCGTTTTTGCCTTGATGACAGCTTTGCACACTCAAGCTTCTCTCAGTCAGCTTCATGAGGTCGTCACCTGGAATGGTTTTCAATTAACACGCGTGCCTTGTCAAGAGTCAATTTGTGGAATGACTTGCCTTCTGAATGTGTTTGAGACCATCAGTTGTGTTGTGCAGAGGTAGGGTTAGTGCACAGTGGGAAGCCCTATTTGACTACTGTTGTATTCCATATTATGGCAAGAACCACTCAACTCAGTAAAGAGAAACAACCGTCCATCATCACTTTAAGAACTGAAAGCCAGTCGATCCGGAACATTTCCAGAACTTTGAAAGTATCCTCAAGTGCAGTCCCAAAAACCATCGAACGCTATGATGAAACTGGCTCTCATGAGGACCGCCCCGGGAAAGGAAGACCAAGAGTTACCAGCCTCAGAAACCGCAAATTAAAGCACCTCAGATTAGAGCCCACATAAATGATCACAGAGCTCAAGTAGCAGACAATCTCAGCATCCACTGTTCAGAGGAGACTGCGTGAATCAGGCCTTCATGGTTCAATTGCTGCAAAGATCCACTGCTGAGGATGAACTGTTTGGCCCAAGAAACACCAAGAATGGACATTAGACAGGGGAAATCTGTACTTTGGTCTGAGTCCAAATTTGGGATTTTTGGTTCCAACCGCCGTGTCTTTGTGAGACGCAGAGAAGGTGAGCGGATGGTTTCTGCATGTGTGGTTCCACCGTGAAGCATGGAGGAGGAAGTGTGATGGTGTGGGGGGGGCTTTTCTGGTGACACTGTTGGTGATTTATTAAAAATTCAAGGCACACTTTACCAGTCACAGCAATTCAAGGCACACTTTATCTACCACAGCATTCTGCAGCGCCATGCCATCCCATCTGGTTTGAGCTTACTGGGACCATCATCTGTTTTTCAACAAGACAATGACCCCAAACATACCTCCAGGCTATGTAAGGGCTATTTGACTAAGAAGGAAAGTGATGGAGCGCTGCGTCAGATGACCTGGCCTCCACAATCACCACACCTCAACCCAATTCAGATGGTTTGGGATCAGTTGGACTGCAGAGTGAAGAAAAATAAGCCAACAAGTGCTCAGCTCCTCTGGGAAGTCCTTCAAGACAGTTGGAAAACCATTCCAGGTGACGACCTCATGAAGCTCACTCAGAGAAGCCAAGAGTGTGCAAAGCTGTCATCAAGGCAAAAACGGGGCTACTCTGAAAAATCTAAAAATAAAAATCATATTCTGGATTTTTTTAACACTTTTATGTTAACTAGATAATTCCATGTGTTCTTTTATAGTTTTGATGTCCTCAGTATTGATCTACAATGTAGAAAATAATTAAATAAATAAAAACCTTCGAAGGAGAAGGTGTGTCGAAACTTTTGACTGATACTGTATGTATTATAAAGGTATTTGTGTATGCGAATGGACTGCAAAGGCTAAAATCCCTGTGTTCTACTGTACTTATTACGACAAGAGTTAGTCCGCAAAAGTTAGTCATTACCTATTACGACTAGTCAGACTGCAACAGTCTGACTTGTCGTAATAGGTAATGACCAGCGTTGGGACTAACGCGTCACAAAGTAACGCGTTATTGTAACGCCGTTATTTTTGGCAGTAACTAGTACTCTAACGCATTACTTTTTTAATTCAGTAACTCAGTTACCGTTACTACATGGTGCGTTACTCCGTTACTGCGTTAGTTTTTTTTATATAGTCAACAGCCAGGCGAACAGAGATGAGAACTGTACTTAAGTACAGTACTTGAGTAAATGTACTTAGATACTTCCTGTGTCACATGCGGAGACACGCTGTGTTTGTGTTGTTTACTAACAAGACTATCATGGCGGCGGCGGAGCTCAAGTCTAGTTTCTCCACCTGGAGATATTCTCACTATTTCACTTTTGTCGAGCACAAAGAAAAGAACGTTTTAGTTAAATGTAAGTTGTGTCTTGGCGGGTCAAAGATCCTATCTACTGCCCAAACCAGTAATTCAAATCTCTTAAAACATCTGCAAAAACAACATGCTGGGACGAAGCTAGTAGCTAAGACCACAGAGACTCAGCCGACGCCACTCCACCTCCACCTAAGCAACAGCGGCTGGATTTTAACCGAGGGAATGCTGGCCAGGGAAAAGTCGATAAAGCCATTGTAGAATGTTGTAGAACACATGTAGGCTATTGCTACAGTGGAGTCACCCGCTTTCAGGGAGCTAGTTAGCAGGATAGCATGTCCGGGCGGCACACGGCATATGTGACGGAAAACTTTTTCCAACTACCTGGAGAAAGAATATACAAAAATGGAAAGCCAGCTAATATCGATGCAATCCAGATTGCGTCAAGTTGATCAACAGATTGTATTATTCTCCAATGTAATAACAGTACTGAAATGAAGGCTATAAGGGCATTAATGGGAGCCATTTGTTTAAGTAACTAAAACGTTACTTTTCACAGTAACGCATCACTTTT